AGAATTTAAAATTGTTAAAGTCAGAAGTGATCATGGTGGAGAATTTGAAATAAATACTTTGAAATTTTTTTAAAAGAAAATGGCATTGCACATGATTTTTCTTGTCCAAGAACTCCTCAACAGAATGGAGTTGTAGAAAGAAAAAATAGAACATTGCAAGAAATGGCCAGAACCATGATCAACGAGACTAACATGACAAAACACTTTTGGGCAGAAGCAGTGAATGAGGCTTGTTATATTCAGAATGGAGTCCAGTGAATGGTCTCATTCTAATCATTCATTTTTAAACTTCAACTTTCTTCATCTTCAGTCTCTTCTTACAATTCAAATTTCAAATTTCTTTCTTATTTCATTTTTTCACACTTTCTCACTTTTATTTTTATTTTTTTAACATATTATTTTCTTTTTCCCTTTTTACTTTTTTCTAAGTATCAACTATTTTTCTATTAAAATTGACTACCGCAAAACTACTTAAATTGCTCTTCTTTTTTTTACATTAATTTACACTAATAAAAGATTAAAAAATATAAATAACTAATGTCACAATTTTTTTTTCAAACTTGCATATGACCTCGTTCAAATCATTATAATTATAGTATATGATTATCATATTAAATATTTATCGGTGTATAAATGTATACAAGATTGGTATTTAATTTTGTTTTTACGACAAATTTAATCAAATTTATTTATTTATTATTATTAAAATATTAATTAATATATTTTTAAATTTCAATAAAATTATGAATTTATTTTATGAAATTAGATCATTCTCAATAGTTCGACACGTAACTAACTTTCCATCTCACATATCACTACTAGAAAAATATCTATTTTATTTTAATTAAGAATTTTCATTATTTGAGATGAAAAACTTATTTTCAAATGTCAAATTTTCTATTTTTCTCACGGACCACTATCAGTAAAATATATTTTTTATTTTAATCAACACTTGTCTTTATTTAAAGCACAAAATTGTTATTTTAAAATGTCAAAATTTTTATTTTTCTCACGGGTCACTATCATCAAAATATATATTTTATTTTAATCAACACTTATCTTTATTTAAAGCACAAAATTGTTATTTTAAAATGTCAAAATTTTTATTTTTCTCACATGTCACTATCATCAAAATATCTATTTTATTTTAATTAAAAATCATGTTTAATCACATGAGTTAAATAGTTTAAATATTAGCACATGATAAAATAGGAATATTTTTATATTTCTTTTAATGTTTCATTTTTTAGCTCAATTTTTTATAAGCACTTGTGTTGGCTCAATGATGTTGAACTTTTTATTTTTACTATGTGGCTGTGCAAGTAAATTATAAGGAGATGATTGAATGACTTTGTTTTTTGCGTGAATTTGTAATTTTAATCTTAGAGATGAAAAACTAATTGATTTAAAGGGGTAAAAGGAAATTTACAAAGTCACTAAAATCTAAAGTGACTGATGAAGTTGTTTATGCCTTCTAGGATTTATGTTTTGTTCTTTGTCATCTAGTTTTTGGTTGATTTTGTTGTCTCACTTGATTGATATTAGGGGTGGATTTTTAATCCGATTTTAGCATGTATAAATCAAATTATTTTATTATAATTCTAGTAATATGTTTTGAGTCAAATAGTCAAAGTTTTTAATCAAAAAGTAAATTTGAGAATGACTTAAGTCATGTCGAGTTACAATTCAGAATAACACTTCATTTTGACGAGAATTTGAAATAAGTGTGATTTGAATCCCATGCTGACATGATTCGAATCAAAGTGTGTAGAGAAGACGGAAATTTGCTTATGTGAATCTTATTCGAATCACAAAAGTTTCTAACTCGAATCAAACATATTACAAAAAAAAACACGATTTGCTTCTATCTATTTGATTCAAATCATAGCAGTCCATGACCCGAATCAAGATAGTTTAATTCGAATCACATATATGCTTGACTCGAATCAAACATTGATAACATAGTTTGGTTTTCAATTTTATGGATCTGATTCAAATCAGTGGTTTTGTTGGCTCGAATCACATGACTCGAATCATAAAATGGGTTTATTCGAATCATGAGAGCAATTTTTCTTGGTTCCTTGATCATGATTCACATCATTTACTCTCCTGATTTAACTCAAAATTATTTCTTGTGACTCAAATCAAATAGCATTTTTCCCTCTTATTTTTTGTGTTAAATCCCCAACAGATATATAAATCTTTTTCTCAAATCCCTTTTATAGTGTACATAACATACACATCCACTTTATGATTTAGAACTCACAACACACATTTTCTATCAAATTTCAAAAAGGGTTTTAAATCTTTTTTTTAATATTGGAAAACAAAATCTCACGGGTCACTATCATCAAAATATATATTTTATTTTAATCAACACTTGTCTCTATTTAAAGCACAAAATTATTATTTTAAAATGTCAAAATTTTTATTTTTCTCACGGGTCACTATCATCAAAATATCTATTTTATTTTAATTAACAATTGCCTTTATTCGAGACACAAAATTCTTATTTTCAAATCTTAAAATTAAATTTATATTATCATTATTCATTTTATAATTAAATAACTCTATTTTATATCATATTAACCGCACAGGTATTTTGCTAGTATTTTAATAAAGAATATAGATATGTTTGTTTCAGTTTTTTTTCAAATTTTTTATAATATTATATATTTAAAAATTAAAAAATTTTACATAGAAATTTTTCACAAAATTTTTAAATTAAATTATACTTTGAATAGTTATTTTTGTTTATTCAACATTTTATTAAAAGTTTTTTTTAATATCAAAATTTTAAAAAAAAAACTTAATATTAGAGTTATTTCAAATAGTTTTTCATAAAAATTATTTTTAAGATACAATTTAAAAAAAAAAAAAGTGATTTCGATTATGTTTGATCGGCAATAACGTAAGTTTACGTTATAGTTAGGATTTCAAATTAGTCTTTCAACTTATACAAAACGAATTTAAAAAAATTAATATTTTAAAATTATTTTTATAAAAATCATCTTAAAATTAGTCTTTTGACGACATATCACTATACTCTGGATGGTTGGCCTGCGGACCACGTATCACTGCTTCTCATTTGCCCGAGCACGTCATGCGGCAGTTTGAGTACACCCAGATCATCCCTAGACACCCTATTGTCTTTACTCCTCCTGCCTTGATCTGTATATAGATTGACGAGATGTTTGTTGATTATCAAAGTCATTTGGTAGCAGATGAGGCTCGGGCTACCATAGCGCCGAATGACTGGAGCTACGTCGACATATATATTAGGCGGTTCTTCACTATCTCACATTCGTACATGGTGTTGATTGCTCCAAGAGATCCGTCGTGACTAGCTCATCAGAATATTCTTGAGGAGCAGCAGGCTCAGCTATATCATATTGAGGATGTCTTTCCTCGTTGTCGTCACATAGTGGAGATGGCGCGGGCAGGCATTGACGAGGGTATCTTTCCTAAGGGATCTGCTGTCACACGAGTACTGGATGTCATTATTGCGAAGGCACAGAAGACACTTTTGTACCGCAGACATCGCGCAAGGACAGGGGGGATCGATGGCCGAGGAGGCAGACCAAACAGAAGAGGCAAGAGAGAGGTTGTCAGGCACACCCAGTAGTTGTCTTATTTATTTCATTTCGGTATTATAGTTTGTACGCTTTTCCTGACATTGTTACTATATTTTAGATTTTCGTGACATGTGATATCCTATTACTATATTGTTATATTATTTTGGTATGTCTGTTATTTTATAATTCATCTGCGAACAAATACACAGTGCATTTTTAGAAGAAAAAAACCTGTTTTGATACATTTTGGAGATGTATCTCCGAAAATTTCCTGTTGATGGATCTCCGGAAATATTCAAATGAAAATGGATTATGGGAGATATGTTGTGACCATTTAAAGTTTAAATTGTTCCAAAAATATATCTCCAAAAAATTATTAACGTTTAATTAGTCATAAAACACATCGGAAAATACATCTTCAAAATCTGAAAGCATATGTGAAAAATCAAACAGTAAAAAAGAAATGTATGGAGTGCAATAAAAAATTTCTTTTACAATCATTGATTAAAATGATTAGGAGTTTGGACCCTAGCCCAACCAAATCTGGTTGTTGTCCAACCCTAATAATAGAGATGATTTGTTATTAATTTATTACTATTACAATTATTACACTTTTCAATTTTTTACGGAAAGTGTTTTTCATCTGCTATGTAAAAATAATTCAAAAATAAAAATATATGGTACGAAAGTAAATCATGAATGTCTCATGGATCTTTGATTTGATAACTATCAAAAATAAAAAATGTGTGTTAATAAAATATGGGTTTTTTTAAGAAATAGTTTGAAGAAAAATGAAAAAAAGTAAATCAATTGGTCATACCAATAAAAAAATTTCCACTGCCCTGATTTGTAAGAAAAAATGCAGTGATAACAAATACGGGTAATCAAAGAAAAAAGAAATTCATGATTTACCAATGAAAAATACTTATTTATAAGAAAAAATGTATCTTTGATTTTACCGGAAAATATCATGAAAAATATTTTCCAAAGAAAATTTTTCCAATGCACCGATTACAAACATGGGTAATCAAAGAAAAAAGAAATTTATGATTTACCAATGAAAAATACTTATTTATAAGAAAAAAATGTATCTTTGATTTCACCGGAAAATATCATGAAAAATATTGTCCAACGCACTGATTACAAATATGGGTAATTAAAGAAAAAAGAAATTCATGATTTACCAATGAAATTTGTAAGAAAAAATGTATCTTTGATTTCACCGGAAAATATCATGAAAAATACTTTTATTATCACCAGAAAATATTTTTAAGCAAATATAATATATGTTCCACCTATATATTACACGACATATTATCCGCCTATATATTACACGACATATTATCCGACATGAGACTCATAACGGAATTCAAATTGCCTTTTCTACATTGTACAATAAAATAGAGAAGTGCATTGAGTTTTATTTCATTGTGTAGCTAATGAAACTCTAGAGGTTTTACTTCTAAGACAAGAGACACTAAGTTTAGGGATGGTGTATGGTTCTTCTAATAAAGCCTTGGCCATGATTCTATATGCAGCCTCTGTTAAATGATATCCATCCCAACTAACATATTTTGAAGGATCATCACATGGAGTCACCTCTGAATTTCCACATAGGGCCGTTTCATTGTAGTTGTAAGGACCTCCACCTCCGCAACATAGTTTCAAAGTATTTCCATCAAACCCTGATACAACAGGTCAAAATCACGTTTAGATTCAAAAGCTACATATTCTAACTTAAATTAGAATAAATTCTAGAAAGCATAATCAATTCTCCTCGAAAGAAAACAAACATGTCAAAATCAATTCTGGGTGGTGTCTGAAACGTGAAACCAAACATAGACTAGAGGGTTAGAGAATAGAAGAATACCGAATTGTTTTGGAGATTTGTAAATCTGCAATGCAGCATTGAAGTAATCTGCATAGATGATGTTAGTAAAAGGATACACCACTCGAAGCTTATTTAGTTCGATTTGAAGAAGCTCGTTATGGTATTCAAATAACATGTTTAACCATTTCAAACATCCAGATTCGTCATACTCCGCTTCATCGGTAGTTGCATACATTGTTAATAAGACCGGATTGCATCCAAGTGGTAAACTTCCGGGAACCAAAATTGTTACCGCACCTAAATCAATCAACTCCTGCATAAAATTTAAATGTTACTGGAAAAACTACGGACCACAATTCCCTGCTGTCAGCTTTTGATGCATTCGGTGCAATACAGATACGAGTCGTCAATGATCACAGATAAACCAAATGCGTGAATGCGACAAACTTTTCACAGGTTATGATCCGATTTTAATAACTAGTACTAATGAAATTTCAAACACTGATTTAAATTCTTACCCTGATTGCTGAAGTGATTACAGATATTATACGTGGTGCGTAAGCAATAAGCTCCACATATGTGTTTTTTGCAAACAATGGAAAAACATAATCGTTGCCGCCTATCTCTCCCACAACAAACAAGGAGCTTCCAAGAACATCTTTGCATCCTACAATAATGAAATCCCTTAAACTAAAATTCAAAGTAACAATAGCAAATATTTTGTGAATCACTGAAATACATTTATAACCACAGCAAAACGACGTTACAGGCGTGACATCTAGGTTGTTAATCTCGGATAGTGGATAGCCGTGACATCTAGGTTGTTAATCTTGGATGGTGGATAGCCGTGACATCTAGGTTGTTAATCTCGGATAGTGGGATAGCGGTGTGTAGCACTGAACCTCCAAAATGCAATAGTGGCATAGCGGATAGCGGCGTGTAGCACCGAACCCCCAAAATGCTATAGTGGCATAGCGGATAGCGGGTTGACTACTATTGTGAAGACTAAAAAACAATATACATATTAAAGATAAATTCCAACATACATAAATAGTTAAAAATAGAAAAACATAAATTTAAAGGAACAATTAAGAATTATATATCCCACAAAATGAGTTCCTGCAAAGTAAAGGAACAATTAATAATTCATCTCCATTAGGCACAACGGCAACAAGTTTAGATTGGTGTTTAGTAATTCTTGTTGGTTCATTATCCCATCTGCATTACCAACAACTTTCCAAGTCAAGCCCTCTTCTTCCAAAACCAAATCTACTTCCAATATTCCATTTTCATCTTCAGAGCAAAAGAGGTCAATACTAACCTTTGAAGAGAAACAAAGCAAAGGAGAAGAGGCGAAGCAGAACAATGAAGTAGAATAGAATGTGGAAGAGGAGAACATCGAAATATTAAAGTTTACGTTTTTCCTCCAAATTGAGAATGGCGGTCAAGAAAGCATCATAGCGCTGCTACCAAAACGCTATCTGCGATGGCTATGACTGCTGCTATCGTCAATAGTGCTTCGCAGGCCAATTGCATAGTGGTGAAGGGCCGCACCATCACGCTATGCCGCTATAGCCGTGCTATGGACAACCCAACATGACATAATGTTGTTCATTAAAATAAACTAAGAATTGTCCCGTTAAGTTAGCTCAGTTAGTAGCTGATTGGATCCAGGGTCCCGGGTTTAAACCCACCACATCCCAGTTGTTCACAAATTTGCAAGAGACAAGAAATAAAAAAAGAGTAAAGAGTAAGTAACTTTACTTGAACTAGAATTGCAGATAGAAGGCAGCATTTCCTTGAACTCATCTATCTGAACCATGAGAGAGTAATTTGCAGTCACACCAACAACAAACCCTTTCTCTTCAAAGAAACTCCTACCCAAAGCAGTTACTCCAGCAACCGCAAAATTCACTCCATGTTCAACATTCCCACTTTCCTCCACATCACCATTTTTGAAACCCAAATAAGGTTTCACATACGGAAGTCCCAAATACTCAGCTTCACAAACACAAGAACAAAAAAACAAAAACAAAAAATATTTTTTTTTTACTTTTTATCAAAGTGAAAAAGAAAAAGGGTATGGTGAAAATTGAATGATAGTACCTATGAAATCAATGATGAGTCTGCCATTAGAGCACCGTCCATTAGGGTGATGAAAATGGGTTTCACCATAAGGTTGGAGCAGACAATTCGGACTTTGTGGTTCAGAAATGAAATTCAAATTGCCTGTATCAGTGAGAGAATCTCCGAAGCTGAAGATTGAGGTGTTGCAACTTGTAGCAGCAGTAACAAAAACCAGTGACAGAACAATAAGTAGCCATTGTTGAGGTTGTTGTAGTGAACCAATCAACATGGCCATTATTTGGTTTCTGTTTGTTTGTTATTCATTGAACAATAATGAGTCCTTCTCTCTAGTTATAAACACCTCTTTCTTTTTCTTTTCTTTCATGTTTTTTTAAGTTTTTATTTTAAGAAAAATAATGAATGAATCTAATATACTATCTATTTTGTATTTATATTTTCTAAATATCTTATTTATATGTTATTGTGTCTATTTTAACTTTTTCATTATTTTAATATAAATCAGTAATTCTAGATTGTATAAAATAATTATTTTATAAAAAAAATCATTAAAGAAGCTTAGAATAAAGAAAAAGAAGGAATTTTTTATTTATCAATAGATACATGTAGAGTTGTTTTAAATTTTTGAAGACAATAGGTTAGTTATGATTTAACTATTACAAAATAATTAAAAATCATGTTTAATCACATGAGTTAAATAGTTTAAATATTAGCACATGATAAAATAGGGATATTTTTATATATTTCTTTTGATGTTTCATTTTTTAGCTCAATTTTTTTATAAGTACCTGTGTTTGTGTTAGTTCAATGATGTTCAACTTTTTATCTTTACTACGTGGCTGTGCAAGTAAGTTATAAGGAGATGATTGAATGACTTTGTTTTTCGCGTGACTTTGTAATTTTAGTGTATCTAAGAGATGAAAGACTAATTAATTTAAAGGGGTAAAAGGAAATTTACAAAGTCACTAAAATCTAAAGTGACTGAAGAAGTTGTTTATGCCTTCTAGGATTTATGTTTTGTTCTTTCTCATCTAGGTTTTGGTTGATTTTGTTGTCTCACTTTATTGCATATATTAGGGGTGGATTTTTAATCCAATTTTATGGATGTATAAATCAAATTATTTGATTATAATCTTAGTAATATGTTTTTAGTCAAATAGTTAAAGTTTTTAATTAAAAAGTAAATTTGAGAATGGTTTAAGTCATGTCGAGTTACAATTCAGAATAACATTTCATTTTGACGAAAATTTGAAATAAGTGTGATTTGAATCACATGCTGACATGATTCAAATCAAAGTGTGTAGAGAAGACGGGAATTTGCTTATGTGAGTCTTATTCGAATCACAAAAGTTTCTAACTCGAATCAAACATATTATTAAAAAAAACACCATTTACTTCTATCTGTTTGATTCAAATCATAGCAGTCCATGACTCGAATCAAGATAGTTTAATTCGAATCACATATATGCTTGACTCGAATCAAACATTGATAACATAGTTTGGTTTTCAATTTTATAGATCTGATTCGAATAAGTGGTTTTGTTGGCTCGAATCACATGACTCGAATCATAAAATGGGTTTATTCGAATCACGAGAGCAATTTTTCTTGGTTCCTTGATCATGATTCAGATCATTTACTCTCCTGATTTGACTCAAAATTATTTCTTGTGACTCAAATCAAATAGCATTTTTTTTCCTCTAATTTTTTGTGCTAAATCCCCAGCAGATATATAAATCTTTTTTTCAAATCCCTTTCATAGTGTACATAACATACACATCCACTTTATGATTTAGAACTCACAACACACATTTTCTATCAAATTTCAAAAAGGGTTTTAAATATTTTTTTAATATTGGAAAATAAAATCTCTTCATAATCAACCTATTGCATCATCCATTGTTGTTTGGAGCAGTTTCTTATCTTAGGGTGTGAGATCTGTGAGGGGGATCGTTATTATGATTAAAAAATTTATGAATAATTTTTTTATGATTTTGCCAATTCGAATCTGTGTGTATGGTTGTGATTAGGATCGAAAAATCCCGTAAAAAGAATGAGGTTCTTATCTCCATGATTACTTTGGCAGATTCGTACGAAAGCATATAGAAAAAGTTAGAGTTTTTCTCATCTTCAGAAAGTCCAAGGATCAATGGACCGATATAATCTCGTAAAGATGACTATAGAACAAAGGCTCAGAGCTGTTAAATGTAATTCATTGTTTTGATTTGATTTGAATATTTTGGACCTTTTATGTTTTGCGCCTTTTATGTGTTGGGCTTTTGTAAACCTAAAACTATAAATAGGGTGTCTTGCTTTGTATTCAACCATAACATAGAACAGATTTCACAGTTGTAGTTTGAGCAAGTGAAAGTTCTATAAGCAATAAGAAATCCCACAGTTGTGGGTAACACTTTCTCTCCAAATATTTCTTTTCTTTCTTGTTTGTTCTTCTTTTCTTTTGTTGTTCTTGATAATTACTTGTTATTACCATTACTATCATATTGTGGGTTTGTTCATCAATCTTGAGATCAAGATTGAAGGGAATTCTTCATAGGGTGTGAGGTGAATTTCCAACAAGAGCAACATTAGCTTGAAGAGTTAAGTTTAAGTAGAGTAAATATTTCACAAGAGCTCGGTGTTAGATATTGTTTACAATTCAAAGAGGATTTAGATCGAAGATCTTCATTTTTCATCATTATTTAAATTTTGCTTGTAAAAACAACTCGTGTAAATTTTCAAAATCATAGTGGAAAAACAGTAAACTTTAAACGGTCAACAATTTGAGAAAGGAGTAGGCATGGCGTGGAAGAATTATTGAACCAATATACATTTGAGGTTCTCTCTCTCTCTCTCTCTCTCTCTCTCTCTCTCTATATATATATATATATATATATATATATATATATATATATATATATATATATATATATATATATATATATATATATATATATATATATATATATATATATATATATATATATATATATATATCCATCTCTCTCTATTTACATTTTGATTAGAGTTGCATGATTAGGTTTAATATTTTCTTAAAATCAAATATGGTTAAGGTTTATCTTATTCATAGTGATTTAGTTAATAAGTTTAGGTTTGGTTAGATAGAGACTCTAAAATCTTTCTTGTTGTTGATTAAATCTGAAAGACTATGATGTTATATTTCTTATTGAATTGATAAGATTTGTTTTATATAACTCATGTAACTTTATTTTGATTCAAACAATATATTTAATATATTGGTAGTATTTTCATTTATATTCTATTTTGTGCTTCTTATTGAATGTTGTGTCTGTTCCATCCAAAAAAACATATTAAATTTTGTATGTAAATCTCTTGTTGCGCAGTACTATTTTCAAACTCTGATTTTTGAAAGCGATTTTACAATCAGTCTATTTTATAAAATAAAAAAGTCTATTCAACACCCTCCCATTCCAGACCATTTAATTCTCATTCTCGCCCAAAAATTGGTCTTAGAGTTGGTCTCTTGATCAGGTCTAATGATTCCAAAAGTTGAGAATATGAGTAACGATTTAAAGGGAGTGTACAATAGAGCTCCAATTTTCAAGTCGAAGAATATGCTTATTAAAAGGAAAATATGTAGGTCACTTAATGTTAGTAGACCACATGCTTTGGTTAAATATCATTGGCGGGCCTTTTTTTCGTAAAAGTGAAGTCAATGGTGTTTTTACTGAAAAACTTTCGAAGGATTGGTCGAATTATGAAACCAAAAAGGCATCTTATGATTTGAAGGTGAGAAATATATTCATCTATGCGTTAAGTGTGAAGGTATGTTACTCAATCTCGAATGATAAGAGTGTACAATCAATGTGGAATGCTCTTTAATGGCTTCATGATGGTACTGAAGACGTTTAGAAAACTAAAATTAACATGTTGATAAAGGAGTATGAATTATTCTATATGGAACCCGATGAATCCATGCAGACTCATTATCTCTACTTAATCAACAAATTAGAAAAGTTAGACAATTATCTTTCTCAAAAATACTATGTGTCGTACCCCAATTTTGTCTAGGCATTTTTAATTTATCTGATACATGTCCATTTGTCAAGTTTTGCATTTTTAGCCATATGCATTTTTATCATCAAATAAAGTCATCATAATCATGCATATATGCATTATAGTAAAAAAAAGTCAACATAAAGTCAACATTTTACATGTCGAAGAAATTGACTAAAATTGCATTTTTTTTTCATTATGCATTTTGAAAAACAAATTCATGATCATTTGATCTATCATCAAAATATCAATTTGAATTTTATAAATCATTTTCATTCATCATAGGAAAAAAAAATCAATGTTTCTAGAAGGTCCAAAATATCTCTCATTTATTACATCATTATTCCACTCATATGTTTCATCATTATTCACTATTTAATTAAATAAGTTTCTAGAAGGCACTCATTACTCTCACATTTTCTTCATAATTCATAAACTATCATTTTTAGAGTCTATAAATAAAATCATTCTCATTCATATATCTCACCACCAATAATTCATAAAAACTAAGTCAAAACTCTCTCCATTTTTCTCTAAGTCATTTGTTTCTTTCTTTATTGAATTTTATTTTAGATAGGCTCTTATGTTTGGCACTTATTTAATTCTATTGTAATTTTATTCTTGCTTCATTTATTTAATACCTTAATCATCACCATTTTGTATGGAAACTCATTTGATTTTAAATCAAGAGTAAAAAGTGTTCTTGAACCTCCATAAATAAAAGTGATTTGTTGTTGTTTAATTTTCCTTTGCATTATTATTCTTGTTGGCTGTTGCACTTAATTAGTATCTTAATCACCATTATTTTGTATGGAAACTCCATATCAAAAGTTTAAAGTGTTCTTGAACCTCCATAAACAAAAAGGGTAAAATGCAAATTGATGCTTGTTTTACATAAATAATATATCCAATAGCTTTCCAACATCACCACGAGCATGAACTCATGGTTTGTTTGTCATGAGGGTGGATAAAATGACTGAATCAAACAAATATATGTCATTGCATTTTTTATTTTCTAATTTTATTGTTGTTTATTTGCTGATTATAAACATGTCATTGTGTTTGTGAGATCAAGTAGATAAATTTTCATTATTTATTTGCTTAATTCCATGAAAAATGAGAAATTTATGGTAATTTTACGTTTTCGTGGGAAGCTTTTTCTTTCATTTTTGTTGCTAAGGAAATAGTAATCAAATATGGGGTTGGAGAATATGTAGTCTCTCCGCACCCCCTAATTGCTCAAC